CCCCCATCTTCTAGTTTCCCAGTAGAACAAAGATAGTGACCGAAAAAGGTCAACAGACAACTTAGTAATTCTCATATAATGAGCAACAAACCCTATACTTAGAAGAAAGAAAAAAAAACTAAGATAAGGCCCGACTAGCAGGACAGTACCTTGTCCTTTTGTCCAAAGTAGTAAATGTTAATTAAAGGAACACTCAAAATGTCTTTACCAGTACAGCTTGCTGTACTGGTTATGGTGCTGAGAGTGCCATGGCACCCCTATTGTAAGGAAATAAATTGTTATAGAATAGTCTGTCTACCTAGGGTCTGCAGTTTACTGCCTCCACTAACATTGCCAGAGAGCAGCAAGTTCCAAATCAGAAACATCTATTTACATGCTGGGCTTGGATCATTGATCAGCTGATGCGTTCAGCCAATGAACATACAAACATTACGGTTTAGGAACTTGTAGCTCTCTGGTCAAAAAGTGGAGATGTGGAATGGCACCCAGCAAACCTCATGTAAGATTTGAATGGTTTAAAAAAAAAAAAAAAAAAAAAGTGTGGTTTATTAATATAGGGGAGGTGCTAGAGCACTCTTGGCACCATAACCACTACAGTAAGATGAAGAGTAGAGTCAAAGCAAAAACTAGAGAATTAAAAAAAATAAAAATAAAACCACAACATGTAGCTGTCTTTCACTCAGCTATTGTTGGGTAGACACCTCAATAAATGCTAAACGTTAAAGTGATTCTATAATGTCAGGAAAACAAACAGTTTTACCAGCAATATAGACTCCTCGCGGGTGAAGGTGTTAAAACCCCTTCAGTCACTTACCTGAATCCAGCGCCAATGTCCCTCGGCGCTGGGTCAGGCTCCGCCCACACTCCTCCCCTGCCTCAGCCAGCAGGGAGACCTAATGAGCTGAAGTGGTCTGGGTGCCTACAGTGTCCCTTTAAAACAAAACACTAGCAACAGGAATCACAACATTATAGTGTACTTGTGCCTGATTAGTTTTAGCCCTCTCACCCTTCAGGAAAAAAAAAAAAAAAAAAAAAATTGCTTTTCCCCACAATAGTATCCAGCGCTCATCGATGGTCCGATACAATGCTCCTCAGAGTAGCATGGGGGACTGAGGGCATGTGTGGTGAATGCCCATGATAATGCTGGTCATAGGAAAACAGTCATTGCTTTCCCCAGGAGCTGCGTTTGGTCAGATGACTACATTCCCCTCTGCTGTTGTGATGAAAGTGCCTCTAGTTGGTTGTTTTTAGTAAAACAGTCACAAGAGGTGTATTTAATCCTAACAAACTGCAATGTTCTTACTTTACAGGATTAAAACTACAAGGTTATTGCACCCAGAACACTTCATTGCAACCTTTTAATATTTCAGTTTAACTGGGTTCCAGTTGACCATTTACAAGAAACTGTACTCTACCCCATCACTCTGAGCCAGAGTGAGGACAATTTATTAAAGCCCAAGGTAACATTTCAACCTACAGTCTTTGTCAAAAAGACAAAAAAAAAAAACCAAAAAAAAAACCCACGACAAAGCCCTTGTAGGTCGAAACACTGTTACATTGGGCTTCAATAACTTGCCATTTCTGAACCCATGAGTGCCTAAACCTTCTTGTACTTTATGCGACCTGTGAACCAACACTGCAAAAAAAATGGATATTACTAAAGCGGAATTGGAACTTTCACATTACCAATATCACACCAGACTGCGCCCCGCCAGAGGTGATCATTTAAGCCTTTTTTTTCTTAAATCGTCCAAAGCCACAGTGCGCTGTAGTAGTTGTGATACCAGGAATGCCCCTATGTACATAGAACCATTATAGAATAATGCGACTTTTCGCTTGTATTCTGCTGGACACTGCTCCCCGTCTCCACTACGCTTTGCTCAGACAAAGCTTCAGAAAATATAATAAATATCTAATAAGGACAGGTCTCCCTCCCTGTGAGTAGATGGAGGAGGTATACCAGGGGTTCCTAGAATATAATAAATATCTAATAAGGAGCTGTGCCAGGGGCTCCCATAATATAATAATAATAATAATAATAATAATAATATTAT